GGATAGAACTTCTGAGAAAAATATTAAAATCACTCAAGGCAAATTACCAAAAGTTTTCTTTTTCTTTCCAGTCACATTACAGTATACAGTATCCTCTGTTAGTGTTGGCATATGTTGGTACTGGAACAATAGAGCTAACTACTGATGACATGTGGAAAGCAGTTGCTTTCAGAAGAAGTAAGCTTTTCCTTAGATCTTCCGAGTCATACCAGTTGCTCTAATATATATATATTTTAAAATGAGAAGAACATTTTAGAGGAAATGTAACAAGAAAAGATCAATTTGACTTTAACTGTTCAAATAGTTTTTAATATACCAAAGCTGCCTTCTTAAAAATACTTTTCCTTTTTGGAAACAGTTCAATGTAAGTTCCTGAGGATTTTCTCTGGGGTACCTCTATGTGTCTGCAATGCAGGATTCTGATTGGAGATAGCTCTCAGTTCAGTAGAAGCATAAATTTGGATAAGTATGATCACCTACTGGCTTAACTTGACATTCCTCCCCAAAGACCTTGCTCCACTGCTGCCATAAGATAACTTTTACTCAACCTGGAAGAACATGGTGGAGAAATTACAAATACTGGCCTATCTATAACAACCCTGCATTCTTTGGGGATTCCCAAAGCTAAAGAAGTTGCAAGATAGTACGTAAATAATAGATTTTGATTAACAGAGCAATAATGCTTGGAGCTTTCTCTTTTTCAGCAGGAGAGCCGAAGTAAACCTTTAGTCCTGGCTAAATATCTATAGAATCTTGTTACTGAAAATATCATAGGGCTTTTACCCTAGAAGATGTTAACATGCTGTCTTCAGCTGTATTGGAACGAAGTTACCAATATGTTAATTTTTCAGACAGTCTTGTCCCTGACACTCAGGAGCAGATGAAGCTCTGGACCACATGCTGCTGTAATGATTTTATGATGAAATTATATTGAACCCTGCTTTTTGCAGACCATAATGATGATGTCACAATTAAAGTTACCAAATTATGTTTCAACAGCTTGTATTACTAGGAAACAGATACTGAAACATGACAATTCTTGTTCCACCTGACAAGAAACAAGTGATGTAACCTGGCAATTCTATTTGAATTTTTGTGTTATTTTATAATAGGTTTATTATATATTACTGTGTTCTAAAACTGAGCATTTTTTTCTTTTATACATTTGCAAAGTAGTTTTATAATTTCGTGATTTAGTTTTGAGTATTTTATGTTTCAGCACTAGTCTTTGTATTTTATTGCTACATTTAATTTTTTCTTAACTTAATTAGTAATTGCTACATTTCAAATACATCTAAGATATATTTTTATATAATGCTAAAAGAAAAAGAAGGAAAAAGTCTGCATGTTGTTCCTTTCCTTGTAGTTTGAATTTTGACATCTCCCTCTGGTCCTGTAACATACTTCCCATCTGTTCATACAGCTGGCAGTTTAAAGGGAAGTGTCCTGACATTCTAATACATTATGTGAGATTTGCACAGATATGTGGCAGTACATTGGGCAACTGGAAGTCACTCAAATCTTTGGATGGAAACTAAGGAAGAAATACATATGCAGAAATTTAATTGTATTTCTATATAGTTATATTCCCAATCTTTTCCTCCTAGTTGTATACTATGACCAACACCAAAACACATGGTTGCAAAAACATTTTATTACAAAGATTTTAATTGATTAACCTCAAAGCAGTGTGGAAATGCCCCTTGCCATAGATAGCATTCATGGTCTACATCAAAGCTCTAGCTGAATTATGAAAAGGAATTATTTTTAAAAAATGTTTAGGGAGGAAAAACGATATCTAAATACTAAATGCAGAAAACATTATTTCACACTTGTTTTGATATAAATCATGCTGTTTTCAACTGCACTTACTCTTGTAATCATATTGGAATCTTGAACATAATTGTTTTTAAATATAAAACTGATATTACAAGGAAGTGCTTTGGAATTAAACTTAGCTTGTGTGTGTGTGTGTGTGTGTGCCTTCAAGTCAGTTTTTGACTCCTGGTGACTACCTGCATTAGTCCCTGCAGTTTTCTTGGCAAGATTTTTCAGAAGTGGTTTGCCATTTTGTGATGGAATGGAATTATGAAGGCCAGACTCAGGGAGGGAAGCATCCTTTTTCGTCTCCTGAAGGACGGGGAAGAGATAAGAGGATGAGGCTGGCACCTCCCTGAGGAATTCACTCTGTGTTGACTGGCTGACCCTGGGAACTAGTTTCAGTCTGGGAAGATTCTTGCTAGAGGTTGTAGCTAATAAACATTGCTAAACTGAATCTGCATGGTCTCCTGGAGTTCCTTGAGCTAGGCCTGACACATTGCTTCCTTCCTAGGGCTGAGCAAATGTGACTGGCTTAAGGTCATCCAGTTGGCTTCATGCCTAAGGCAGGACTAAAACTCACAGTCTGCCAGTTTCTAGCCTGATGTCTTAACCAGTACACCAAACTGGCTCCCAAAGTTAGCTTAAGGAGACAATACTGGTCACATAAATCAGCAGTCACTTCTCTGATGGCACTGCTTCTAGAGAGTTAAATCAGCCTTCCCGAACCTGGTATCCTATTTCCATAATTCCCAGACAAAATGCATTTGTGGCTGTTGAAATCCAACACATCTGGATTGCAATCTGATGGGTACCAGATTAGAGAAGGCTAAGTTTTTATCTGTCTTGTTAATATAGACTTCTTGTGTTTTTAAAAAAGATGGATTAGAAACTAGTTTTTTTTCTTTCTTTTTATTATGTTCAGCTTTCATAAACCTGCTAAAGTTCATGGATATGCCAAATGCTACAGTAAGTCAGTGCATCAATAAATTACTACACAAAAAAAACAATAATAAGATTTCTCTTTTTGGATGGTCCTTCCTACATATAAAAGTATATTTTTCTGTTTTTACAAGTCAATGTATATAGATGGATGCATGTGAGGATTTTCCACTGAGTTATTTTGTTCTGAGTTATTTTGTTCTGTGACAAACACAAGTCTGATAATTCACACAGTTCTTTGTTGTAAAATGGGTGTGTATGTATGTGTGTTTTAGGGCTTAGGGACAAGATAGATCAAGAGATGTTAAATTCTTTCTTGGTTTTTCTATAATGCTTCAATTTCAGATTATTTCCAGGTGCATGTTTTCAGTATCTTGTTGGGAAACACAGATGTAGGGGATATTCAGGGACAAATGAAAAGGCATAGGAAGAGTTAAAAAAAATATTTTCTTGACACTTCACCAAAAAAAAAAAAAAATCTCCCCATCCTAAGGATGAATATACATATTACTGTTTTGTAACAAGAAATCATCTTTGCTGCAGACCTCTTAATATTATCTTGAAATTCACAGACACCAAACCATTCTCCAATATTCTGCCACAAAGTAATTCTGTTCAGCTGTTACATATACATTTTGGTTTGCTACTGCTATTTTGCAAACCCACTTATTGCATGGTAAAAACCATTTAAAAGACAAAAGCAATATCACCTTCTAATCAGTTTTTACTCCCTTTTAAACTTTACTTATATACTAGCACAGAAAAACTAATATTTTGGAAGCAAGTTGCAATAATGTAGGTAAAAATAAAGAGGAGAAATATTATTCTCTTCACTTCAGTGGTTAAGCAAAGATCTTTATACGGATTTATGCATGTCTGTAAGAATGTTTCTTGAATAAAGTCTTGTTTGTGGTTAAGGCATTCAGTTTTGCTATGAGACCTATACTAGCCTTCCTCAGCTTAGTGCCTTCCTGTTGAGTTGGACTGCAGATGCCATAAAGATCTTAAATTATGGGAGTTTAACGCCAACAGTTTTGAAGAGCACAAAGTTGAGGAAAGCTGGCAAACACTATCCACAACACAAGTGGAAAAAGTAAAACTAGAGAAAGAAAAAAGGAGGAGAATCAGGCTTTTGGTTTAGATATAGAATGCTGCTGTTCAAAATGTTTGATGCTGACCTGAGACCATAGAGAACTGTCCCATCTGGATGTAAACGAATCATTCTGTTCTTCACAGTGACACCATGTACAAATGACTTCTTATCATTCAGGAAGTAGGTATCAGGAACCCAAAGCTGATCTGCTACTCTATTGTCCAGTGTAAGATTTAAAGGTATTACATTATACGAAAGCCTCTTATCCCTCCATGCTTGTTGAAAGTACATTGTCAAGGTGTAGTCCTGGAATGATAGAAGAGAGAGGGAAAAATAGGTTGAAAATTGGTTTTACTATTCCTTATTATGCTACTTGAAATAAGCAAACCAAACCAAAGGGTATTTCTCCAACTGATCATCATTATCTATAAAATTAATGTCTGAGGGATACTAAATACTGTTTTATCCTCTAAAATAGAAAGTATAAAAATATTTGTCGCCAGATTCTATCAACAGAAAGATAATCTTTATCTCATATTTTTTTTAAAAAACCCTCCCTTTAAGTAAAAGAGAAAGCATGGAGTAATGGATATACTGTACAGTACCATATAAGCACTTATCCATAAGTATTGCTTTCTCTTTAAGAATCAACACTATTTGTTAAAGTTTGGGAATGTAATTTTCTAGATATTAATAACAGTATTTTATTTTATCTATCTATTCACATGGATCTAATACAAAATTGCACTTAGCTCAGTCAAGAAACACATTATGATTGAGAAGGTTGTCTGTATAAAGAATATTTCAGGCTTCTGACAGAAACAAAGATTTCTTTTCAAGGATTCAAAAAGATACATTGCATAACTGGAGATTATGTGAATTAAAGTTCAACACATCTGAAAAGCACCAAATTGGGGAAGGCTTCATTAGACAAAAAGAGCAGCTCTTCCTGACATTCCTTGAATTCTGGAGAGGGAGTTATCTTTGTAAATTAAACCTCTTCTTTGGGGAACATCCATTCAGCCCACGAAGAATGCTGGGAAGAGTAAGACACAGTATCCTATGATGAGTTATTCCTTTAGGCATCAGTACCTCCAGACGAGGCTTGTACCACAATTGTACAATACCGATATACATTGCTTCGTCACTCGTATTTCATGATTCCCAGTTGAATATACTAACCTGAACCACTGAAAATGTTATATATTAATACAGATGAAAGGTTTAATCAAGCACCAATCTAAATCATTTGCCTAGATACTTTGCAATCCACAGGACTGGGATTCCCAAATGATCTGAGGGATATTTCAGGCAACACGGATGGCAATTTTGTTAAGGCCCTAGTTTCACTGTGGCATTGAAAAGGGCCACTGGCATTATTGCTCCAGATTGCCCTTCATAGCTATGGGAAGCCTGGAAAATTGCTTGGTTTTATGAGCAGCACCAGACAATAAAGAGAATTGGCAACTGGCTACAGTGGATGTAAAGTAATCTTATAGAAAATTTATCCAAGCATAGATAGACTATATAACTATGCCTATCTTGTGGTAAGGATGGGGTCAAAGAGGGTTTATTTCTCCACCATTATTGCATTTCAGTGAATCGCCAAGCAGAGCTTTCTCAGACGTTGGGCACACTGCTCAAAACTATCTCAGAGGTGAACTCAGCTGACCACTCAGCAACTTGCTATAACACATTTGCAAAGAACGCTGAAAGTATGTTGTATGCATCCACTTCAAATTAGACATCATAGTTATGCTGGGTTTATGGGGCACAGTTTATTCACAGATTATGGGAAAAATTTTGGTTTGGGAGGCTGAGGAAATTGGCAACATTTTCAAAATTTGTCATCTGGTAAAGATCTCCAGTGAGGGTAAGCAAAGTTGTTTCATATAAAAAAGACATGACAGATTCATACCCACTGGCCTCTCTGGAAGAGGTTCTTAATGGACAGTGTGATTTTAGGTAACTACCACCATTTGCCATTTTTTTCCCTTTGTAATGGTGATAGAGAGGATACTACCCACCCAACTCCAAATGCATGTGGGAAAAGTGGATCATCTAGACCAGTCTGGGTCTGTTTCAGGCCTGGATATAGTATTAAAATGATCCTGGTTACTCTGACTGAGAAAGCCAATTTGGCATGGTAGCTTAAGGCACCAGGGTACAAACTGAGAGACCCTGAGTTCTAGTCCTGCCTTGGGCATGAAGCCACTGTGGGCCAGTCACTCTTTCTCAGGTCTAGGAAGAAGGTAAGGCAAACCACTGCTGAATATACCACCACAAAAATGGCAGGGACTTGTCCAGGCAGTCACTAGGAGTCAAGACTGACTTGAAGGCACAAAACAAACAAAAACTCTGACTGAAGTCCTTTACCGGATGACAAAGTTGGGGGAATATCACTGTGTTGATCTTATTAGCATTCTTAGCAAATGTTGATACCACTGATAACTGGATATTGCTAGAACAGCTCAGCTGGTTGGGGACTGGCTACAAGTGTTTTATAGTGGTTATACTCCTCTTTTCAGGACAGTTATTCAAGAGGCAGTGGGAGATTTCCATTTAGTCCATGACACCTGCATTGTGAATCCAACAGTATTGTATTCTTTCTGCACAACTTTTTAATATTTATATCAGATGTAAACGACCAGAGGTAGACACTCCAGATGTCATGTTAATGTTGGTGCAGTGCAGCTTCCCATTTTTTAAAAATTAAAACCCAATATTTTTTAATGTAAAAAGTGAGGTGGGGAGGTAAGGCATAGAACTTAGTGAGCACTAAGTGAGGCATTTGTGGGCACATTAGAGAACTAAAATCACACATGAAAATTACTTTCAGAAATTCAATGCCAAATGTACTTTATTTGCATAACACAGTACTCATATTTTTAAAGTAAATCATTCTTGGAATCCACAAACCCAAATACTTTAATGAGTAAAATGTTGGAGAAACCAATTTCTTTCTTCAAACTACCAGACACTTTTAGCTACTGGAGGGCTTGTAAAAGCTTACTTTAATTGTACAAATCAAGCAGCAGAGGATCAGTGAAAAGAAGCACCCTACAGTTAAGGGAAATCTTTGCAGTCACATTTTCTAGAATTTGGGGTGCAATTGAAGAAATGTGGTATAATTTTGTCTTTTAAGTTCACAATGGAAGTCCAATTTGTTTTGAAGAATTCTGCAATGGTCAAAATGAAGCCCACTGTGTACTTTGAAGCAGAGAAAGAAAGAATGAGAAATAACAAAGATCATTTTAACTTAAACTTAGCTCATATGTGAGGAAGTTATCAACACAAATTTTGACCACAAATCATTTAGGACTTTATAAGTAAGAAAATCAGCACCTTCAATCTGTGGTAGAAACTAATGGAAATCTCTGAAATACACACCAGAAAGTACTTTGCATGCAGGGATTTGCACCAGCATCAGTTTCTGAACACTCTTCAAATGCAGCTTCCTGCAAAGCATATTGTAATAATCTAAATGGGAAGAGATTGATGCATTAATATGGCAAGATCTGCTTTCTCCAGGAAAGGATGTAATTATACTTCAGCCAAAGCTGGACTACAATAATGATTCAGTTGGGTAACTGACTCTTCATAGAAGGCTACGGCCCAACATTACTGTTCTTGAGAACTTATCTTTTTCTGAAGGAATGCAGTTCAAAACTTCCAAAGGATTTCCACAACTTCCTTGGTGTGCGATCAAAAGAGCAGTGCATCATCAGCATAATATGACTCTACCACAGTATATGCATGATCTTTCCCAAAATGAATAGATCCAGACCTCCATCTTGCCCCGTTGCAGTTCACAAACCACAATGACTTAAGGATGCCTCTCCTTCAAGCCAGATCTTAACTCATCAACATTAACCAAGAAAAAACCCAGAAGTCTTTATTACAACTTTGTTATTATGTTATTATCTTTGCCATATCCTATAACATATGATTAGATTTAAAGAAGGTTGAATAAGAAACTAGAACATTTTTGATGAAAAAGGAAATAGTGGATTCTTCTCGGCATGCAAACAAATATTTAGTAGTTTCTGTATATTGGGACAAATATTTTGAAGATCATCTACATTTACACTGTAAAAAAGAACAAAACATGAAGTCTAATTGTAGATAAAGATATTAATATTTCCTTGAATAACTAAATGCAGTATAATTATGTGTAGTATTAACAAACTCCACATTTTAAAAAATTATATTCTCTTATATTTTCTAAGGTTCATCTAATTCATTTGCCCACTTTTTGAAAATATCTGTCCTGCCTTAATTTTTTTTAAAAAAGTGTAATAATGCAATAACTATTTCCTTACAACTATCATCAAAATTACACAGAGGCATAGTATGGATTAGACCAACTGACAAAAGTGAATTCATGCATGCAGCGTACTCCTAGAAGCAATATTTATCTAAAAAGGAATGCCTGTCAGGTTAGGTTTCACATATTGCTGATTATAGACAGGATTATTCTAGAATCTTAGCTATAGCTCTATGACAAAAGTGTGATTTCAGTTCTAATCTTTCACCTCTCAATGAAGAAAAAATTCCATCCTGATATAATTCTAGAATTTAGGGGGGAAAAATTATTAAATATCTCCATCTACTTTTGATTGCACTTTGCCCATTGTCCATAGAATGTTAGCTAATAAATGGGTAAAACGTTATAGGAAACTAAAATAGCATGTAAACAGTACTTTCTGTACTCAGTGAGATTTCTGCTGGAAAAAATACTTTTTCTCAATGACAAGTGGTAGCATTGTGCAAAAGGTTCTGAGCTTGTAATAGCTATTAGCATTCTGTCCTTGAAATAAAGCTTGTGTTCAGAAAATTTAGTTTCAAGGTCATAACAGAACACATTTACATCCAGAGAATGTTGTTTTGAGATCATAATAAAATTCCCTATTTGGTTCCAACAGTAGAAGATATCGGCTGCTTCAAGCAGTAGGGTCTTCAGAGTTCTAGACATAATAAATAAACTTGAAATTGGTCATTTAACTGTTCTGTACTTGAACCCTTATGTTCAAGAGTTTGTTTTGAAGCTGGAACTAAATACTCAAGCCATTTTGAGTTTGTTCTGATGGAAAACAGAAAACAACCAACCAGGACTATTCTGGCATAACATTTCAAGTGGGCCTCTTTTGTTCATAGCTCGAAACCAAACACATTTTCCATTTTGTGCATATCTTTAACAATCTCATTTTGTAGCAGTTGTTGAATGAGCCAAAGAAACAGACCAATTACTTAGCATAGTACAAGGGGCAAAAAGAACTGTAACTAATGAAAGAAGAGCCATGAAA